TATTCTTTTCCAATTATTCTTTCTTACTTCTATTTCTATTCTTTTCATTCTTTGGAGGTATTGTAATAATTTATTTGATCATTTGTTTTTATTTTAATATGATATATATCATATTTTTTAATATGTAAGATTCTTTTTAATTTCATATATTGATTATTATGGAGCAAGTCTCTTAATCTACATATTTTGATTGTAATATTCTTTCTATACTTCTCCTTCCACTTCTTTCTTGATTTTTATTAATAATGATGTTAATAGTTGAGGTTATAGTTTTAATATAATGGTAGTAATCATCTAATGTATTGATTACTATTTCATTTGTATTAATGATATTAATTATTTGATGTATTTTGTTTTTATTGTAATAATAATTAATAAATTGTACTTCTTCTTGTTCTTTTATATCTTCTTCTTTATTTATTCTTATTACCTCCTCTTCTTATATTTCTTCTTTCTTATTTATTCCGGCTATTAATTCTTTTAATTCAATATCTTTCAATTTGTGTGTTATTAATTCTTCTTCCATTCTTCTATTGACTTCAATTTTAATTTCATTCTTTATTTTATATGTTTTCTTTATTATTTCTTTATATTCATTAATATCTTCTATTTTAATATCAATTTCATGTATTAATCTTTTTATTTCTTCTTCTTTAATTTGACCTCTTAATTTTATTTCTAATAATTTTAGTGTAAAACATTTATAGAGTGTTAGAATTTATTCTTCTCTATTTGTTTGCTTCAATTATTTTTTGAATGTCATGATCAGATGTGGTGATCTTCTTATGCTGATTTCACATCTCTTCGATTGAATTCTGCGTTAACTTTCTTTTTTTTTTGGAAGATCATCTTCATTTGATGATATTTCATCAGTTACTACCACATTGGGGTGAGGTCATTCACAATTTGTGTTTCAGATGAATCAGATATAATGTGATTTATCTCATCTTTCTTCTTTTCTTCTTGTGTAATTTTATTTTATAATTTAAATAATTTATCTTTCAAGAAGTATACTTGTTGTGATAAATTGTTTACCTCAGACCTTTTCCTTTCTGATTCAGCATTGAATTCAAATAATTTTCTATCAATTTCTTGTTTTGAGTGTTTATCTCCTTCTCATGATTCTTCTTTAATGACATAATGTCATTTGATAATTTATTAATGTTCTGGTTCTTCTTTTGTATTTCTTTTTTCATTTCTTCTTTCTCTTTAATAGCCTCCTCTATCCTTTTCTTTAATTCTTCTATTCTTTTATCCTTTTCATTCTTCTTTTCTTCTTCTTCTTTTAATTTCATCTTTTCTTTTTCATTAAACATTTTCTTCTCCTCAGCAAATTCATTTTTATTATCATTTTCATCATTGTATATTTCTTATTTAAATATTTATCATTTATTTCATTTTGATTTAGTTGTTTATCATCATCTTCAAGTGTCATACTGATTGTTTCTCCATTCTATTCATTTTTGTTTTTTCTCTTAAAAGTAAATACCATCTTCTCATTATTGTTGATTGTATTCTTTAATCTTAGTGTTCTTAATTTCTTCTATTTCTTGTGGTGTAAGTATTTTAAATTCTTCTTCAAATAGTCTTTTCCAATATTCTTGGTTTTGTATTTCTTTCATTTCTTTTCTTTTATTTCTTATTTGTTGTTGTTTTTTATTATGGTATTGTTTATATCTATGTTGTGTTTTATGATGTGATTTATTTGTATTATAATATTGATTGTTTTTATTTGAATTATTGATAAAATACTTATGATGATGAAAATAAATGAATTAATAAATGAAAAGATTCATACCATTATTATTATAATTATTATGATAATTGTTATGGTGATAGTTATTAATATGGTAATGATTAATGTGATGATTAATGTATTTCTGTCCATACAGATAATACGTGGTTTCACTCATTCTTCTATCATTTATATTTCATGGATGATATGGATTTCTCCTTCTTTTGTTATTGATTGTTTTATAATTTTTGTGGTGTTTCCTGTAATGCTTCGGCATCTTTTTTTTATTTTTTTTGAACATTCAAATAAGAAAGAGTAAATTTCCCCCAAATTATCAAAAATAGTGTAGTTTACATAATTTATTCCCATCAATTTTGAAATAATTACCTAAGTTAATACTTACTTTTTTATTCTAAAAATTACGAATTAAAAAAAAATAACAAAGAAAACTCCAAAAAAAAAAAAATAATTTTTAGTTCAATTATTTTAAAAGTTCTTCATGTCTTCCGAAGAATACTCATATGATGAACAATATGAAACTGACACCGAAGATGATCAGGTTCAACTCAAACTTATTAGTAGAACGATAGATGGAAAAAAAGTAAATGAAAGAGTACCACCTGTATTTGTATTTGCACTGAATGCAGGGAGACAAGAAACAATAAGCGAAAGACAGTTACCACCATATATTTCAATACAAGATTCTAAATTAAATTTTAAATCTAAAATAGATGGTTCTACTGCTCTTCATATTGCTGCTGAAACTGGCAAATCAAATTTTGTTAAACAACTTCTTACTGCAGGAATTACAAAAAGTGCCCAAGACATTAATGGAAATAATGCACTAATTAGAGGGGTTATTGCAGGAAGAACTAATGCATGTGTATATTTAGCAAGAAAAATGAATAAAACAGGAATTGATTCACAAAATAAATTAGGAGAATGTGCGATTTATATTGCATGTAGAAGAAATAATTTAAAATTATTAGAAAAACTCATTAAGTATGGAGGAAATGTTAATATACAAAATAATAAAGGAATCACACCATTAATGGTGGCATGTTTTAATATGAATTTAGAAATGATAAATCTATTAATAAAAGCAGGAGCTAATATTGATACAGTTGATTCAGACAAATCAAATTGTTTACATTATATGGCTAAATCAAAAAGTCTTAATAAAATAACTAATTTCGGTGCTTATTTTGATTATTTTAGAAAAAGTGTTGCTGCAGCTGAAGCAGCTGATATTAATGAAAAACAGCCATTATTTTATGCTCTTCAAAGTGAATGTGAACCATTAGTTAATTTTCTTCTTAATGTTACTTCATTAAAAGATGTTAGATTAGTATATAATGAAGAAAATACAATTGCAAAGAAAGAAGTTATTGAAGTTAAATCTAATACTGATGAATTTGGATATGTTAAAGATCAAATTCAAACAGAAGATGAAATTAAAAAAATTACTTCACAAGAAAGAGAAAAAAAATGGGAAATAATGTTAGATGAATGGAATAAAAGTGGAAAGATTCCAAGGGCTTTATTCCATAGAGTATATAAATTTGTTCCACTCAATAAAAGAAAGAAATACTGGGAAATTGAATTAAAAATAAATCAGTCTATTCAAGAATATAATGGTTATTTTGCTCGTATTACTGAATTACCAGAACGTGGTAAAGATGACGAACAAATTCATAAAGACGTTATGAGAGCTCATCAAAATAATGTTCATTTTATGGCTAAATTTAATGATGGGCAAAGAACTTTATTTAGAGTACTAAGAGCATGGTCTATGCAAGATGATTTAGGTTATGTTCAAGGAATGTCAGACCTTTGTGGGTTTTTAATATTAATACTTCAAGAAGAAGAAGAAGTTTATTGGGGATTTAATGCTTTAATGAATAATCCAAAATACAATTTAAGAGAAATGTTTTTACCAGGATTTCCTGGAATTAATAAATGTGCATTTGTTGCAATGAAAGTTATGAAAAAATACCACCCAAAAATATTTTATCATTTAAAATCTAAAGAATATGATTTTGATAATTGGAAAACTTATATGTTAGAATACTTCATGTTATGGTTCTGCAGATGTTTCCATCCAGAATTTGAAGTAAGAATTCTTGATTTAATTTTAATGGAAGGATGGGAAATTGTGTTCTCCATTTTTAGTGCAATTCTTCATTATTCAAAAGGTTTGTTTCAAGTTATCATTTTTCTCTTCTGATTTCATCTTCTTTTATTCCTTTAATTCACTTAATTAGTTGAAATATTAAAAATGAATGAGTATATTTTCATTGATAAAGCCTTGGCTGATCCTATGACTCTTATGGGTAATCAATTTAACCAAGATAAATTTATTAATTTTGTCAAAAAAGCAAGAATCACTCCAAAAGAAATTAAAAAATGGTACAATATTGCTGGAACATTACATAAGAAATAGTTCATCAAATTTTCATTTTCTAAATTGTAGTTTTGAAGTATCTTTTTCTAGTTGGTTCATATTCTTTATCTTTTATTATTATCTTTCTCAATAAAGTTATAATTTTAAGTTTATGGTATTAATGCAATAATCATTTTTAAATAAAATAGAGTTTATAATAAAAAATAAATTGGCTTGAACATTATTTTATTATAATAAAATCTTAAGTATGAAGTGTTTATAATTAAGTGTTATATTAAAAAGAAAAGATAATGGTCTTTATGGAATATTTTTTGTTTTAATAAAAAAATTTAGTTTTAACACCTTTATTCAAACTTTATAAAAAAGTGATAAGAAATGACTTTAAGTGTTGTTATATTTGAAATATTCATTAAACAAAATATATGAATAACAAATTTTAATAATAAAAAAAATGAAAAAAAGAAAGAAAATAATAATTTGTTATACAAAACATAAATTAAAAGAACTTAAAAGAAAAGATGAGTATTAATATTGGGTTAGGTTGAAGAAGATGACTGAAGAAAATGTTTCTATTAGAAATGAATTTTCCATTTTACATAAACGATGGGAAAATGATACTGAAATTGATATGACAAATAATGCAAAAGCTTGGGAAATGAAGAAGAAACATATACTTATTTATACAGATGCAGGGAAGCCAATATTTAGTAGGTATGGAGATGAAATTAAGTTAGCTCCTTTTATGGGTACATTAACTGCTTTATCTTCTGTAGTTGCAGATTTAAGTGATTCTACAGATGATGTTGTTTGTGAAGATGGAAAAATAATTATTTTTCATTCAGTTGGACCTATTGAAATTGTTATTGTAGCAAAAACTGGAGAAACACCCCAACAATTAAAGATTGAAGCAGAAATGATTGGAAGAAAACTTTGTTCAATTGTTCCTTATACTACTATTTTATCATTATTTCAAAAGAAAACTTCATATGATTTTAGAAGACTTATATTAACTGAATATGATCAAATGAAATTTCTTATTCATTCAATGAATGTTTCAACTGCTATTTTGTATAATGCAGTTAGTGTTTTACCATGTACAATGAGAGAACAAATAAATGATATTATTATTAATTTAGTAAATAGTTGTAATGATAAATTAACAAATAGTAATGATTCAATTGTATTCACTTTATTATTTAATGAGTTAAATCTTATTTATATCAATCAAAGATCTGGCTGTACTCTTTCTCCAAAAGATATTCATATTTTAATGACTTTTGTCCAAGGTTTACCAACAATAAATGATAAATGGGTTCCAATTGGATTATATGATTTTAATCAATCAGGACAATTATTTGTTTTCTGTAAATTTTTTACAAGTAAACTATCACTAGTACTTTTAGCAACAAAAAATGAATCATTACCAATAATTAGTGCTTGTGCTGAAACAATTGAAAATGAAATAGCAAATGTCCCATTTATTAACCAATTGATTAATGGTCTTTCAACTGACATTCAATTTGAAGAAAGCTCTTCATTATATCTTCACTATATATTTGTTAAAATTGAAGGTGATAATGCTCAATTACATGAACCTGAATTCCAAGAACCATATAAATCAAGTTATACTGAACAAAAAAGAATTCATAGAATGTTTAGAACTATTTATGATGAAATGAAAAACCAAAATTTAAAAGAATATTGTAGTAAAGGTGGTGTTGATTGTATTTATGCAACACTACGTTCTGATTATTTCTTTTGTGGTACTTTTAATATCCTTTTAGAAAGAGATGAAGTGATTAATCGTGGAAATAAAATTATTAGTTTGGTTCGTTCTAAACTTGATACTTTATTTATAACACCAACTAAGAAAGGAAAATATAAAAGTTTCCTTTGGTAATTATATTTTTTTTTATATTCTTAATGAATTCAAACAAAATTATTAATATCAATCAAGTGGATTAAATACTTTCTTTCTTTGTAAGATAACTTCAGGATGAACCTTAATAAAATTTTTTAAAATACTGCAAATTACAGGATTGTTACTTATTGGTTTTTTTTCTTCTTTCTGTTTCAATTCTTTAATTTCCTTTTTTGTTTTTTTAGTTTTTTTTTCATTGTTTAAGTTATTACCTTCTTTTAATACTTTCTCTTCTGAATTTATCTGAACTTGTGACTCACTCATCTTCTTCTAAATTAATCATTTTAAGATTCTTTTTTTAGGATGTTTATAAAAAGAAAAAAATTTGGAAATAGAAAAAATCAATTTGACAAGAGTGTTCTCAATGCTTCAACACAAGATTTAAATTCTTCAGTATTTTCACATCCAAACCATATTCTCTTTTTAATTTCTGGCACATCAATGTATATTGTTTCTGTAGAATCTTCAGTACCAAAATCTCGAATATCACCTATTAATGTAAATGAATAAAATGATTTATCAATAGATTTACTTACATTTCCCTTCTTTCTAATTACTGGTATATCAGTAACAACAACACCTCTATATAAAATAATTAATGTAAGTTTTTTACGTGAGTTAAGTGATATAGATAACTGATTAATATCAGTTTTATCAAATCTATCTAAAGAGGCAATTCCACAAATTCCATTCTTACCTTCAAATAAAGACATAATAGAAGTAAAACTAAATGGAAATAGAACTTTTAATGCATCAGCAATTCTTTCAATTTTATTAGTATCAGAATACGTATTAATTAATTCTTGAAAAATAGCTAATTGACTGTGAACAACTTCTAATTCTTTAACTTCTTGTGAATCTTTCTTTGTTATTTTAATAAAATCATCTACATAAGCTTGATATGTTCTTACTCTAAAATATGGATAAACAAGCATTTGTAGTATACTCATTTTTTTAGTCATCTTTTGTTGTTTATCAAATTCTTCAATTACTGGAAGGGGATAAAATTCTCTTCCAAGTTCTATTTCATCAGTCATACCAATAGAACATAACTTAGCAATATTCTTTGGAACATGCCGAAGGTAGTATCGATAAAGTACTAAAAAGTGAAGTCCAGAGTTTAATTTTTCTCCAACCTTCTCATCAGTTTTAGCTTCTTGTAATGATGAAATGAATTTTTGGTGGTGTTGAATTAATACAGGAATATGATCAAAAAGTTCTTTCACAACATCGGGACTGAGCATTTGTTTTTTAGTCATAAGTTCACTAAATTCACTTAAACTAGTTAATATTCCAACATAATTACATTCATCTTGAATTAATGATTCTATAAGTGATTTAATAGATTCATTATTTCTTTTTACTTCATCTTCATTCCATGACTTCTTTTCAGTTTCCATTATTTTATTTAATGTTGGTTTATATAATGCTTGTGGGTTAGTTTTAGGAAATTGATTAAGATATAATGAATAAACATCTTTTTTACCTGTACCAATTGTATTAGCATTTAACTTATTAATGAAGTAGGTGTATTGTTCTGTATATAGTAAATATTCTGTTGCTTTTTTTGCTTCATTAAATACATCTTTGGGTGCATTTGAAGTAACTTCAGATAATTTTTTTAAGATTGATTGTTGAATTTGATAAGATAAATTAACTTGTCGTTCTGAGTTTCTATCCAAAAATTGATCTTTAATAAAATTTAATGCCTCTAAACGTACTTTAGGTGTCAACTTATCAAATTGAGATTCATATAATCCAACTGACTCAAGAAAATCTAAATTTTCTTCTGACCTTTCATCTGAAAGATAACACCTCAATAACCGTTTCATAAATGAGTCTTCAAGTACTTCCTGTAACGTTGGCCATCCTTCAAGAATTGCGGTTTCTGTTGCTGCCATTTTTTGTGTAATGATATCCTAGTTTTTCCTTGATTTACATTTTCTTTTTCCTTAATTTTTATTATTTTAGTAATTATTCTTTTACAATTTATCTTTTTACACTCATTTCAAGTTAATTTTTTTAATTTAATAATATTTTTTCATGAATCCTAAAAGAAAAAAAATACTTTAATATAATACTACAAAAAAAATAGTAATTAACAACATTTTTTATCAGATTGTTTTTTAACTTCATCACCAATTCTAACTTCTTGTTCTTCATTCAAAGAAGATTGTTTTTCAAAAGCAAGAGTAGAAATTTTATCAAAAGCTTCTTTAATGCCAGTATTATTTTTAGAAGATACAGGAAAGTATAAATAACCTCTTTGACGTACAAAGTCATTTATTGCTGACTCAGGAACAACAGAAGGTAAATCACTTTTTGCTCCAAGAACAACTACAGGAGTTGATTCTGGTGCACTTGATAATGCAATAGATAACCAACTTTTAATACCTTTAAATGATTGAAAATTACTAACGTCAAATACAAGAATAACACATGAAGCATTTCTGAAATACATAGGAATAATACTTTGAAAACTTTCTTGTCCACAGGTATCCCAAATACGTAATTTATAACTTTCATTATTAGGTAATTTAAATTCACAATCAACAAATGATGCACCAACTGTTGCAGCCTGTTCTTCATTGAAAGTTCCTTTTGTAAATCTTTGAATAATACAAGTTTTGCCTACTCCAGAATCTCCAATAATGACAGTTTTACAAATCTGATTCATCTGGATATTTTAAAGTTCTCTAAGTAGTTCCTAATACAATCTAAAAATAAAAAAAAAGAATTTTTAACAAATTTTTATTAAACCCTTTTTTGTTATTTATATAAAATGAAATAACATAAAAATAATCATAACGAATCAATTTAGATCATCTTTGCAAGGAGCTTGTTAATGAGTAATTCACGATTTCCAAATCCTCCTCCAAGAATGAAATGAATCTTCTTGTTCTTTTCAGCAATTTTAGCACCATTTAATTTGAATGGAGCAAGTTTGTTGTTAACTTCCTTAAAGTGCTTTCCAACAGTGTAAATTTCGTGAATAAGATCATCAGCACAAACGATATCTTTGTCTCCAAGAGTTTTCTTGATCATACAGTTGGAAGTAATTGGCATTCTATTTCCATGAATCTTAAGAGCTCCACGTTTGTAAATGAGTTTTTGGACAGTTTCTAAAGTTGGATATCCATAAGTAACATATGGGTCAACAAGTCTTAACATCTTAATGGTTGAAGCATTTGCCTTAATAAAAACGGCATTGTTAATTTGTCTTAATCTAAGGAGTTTAAGAATTTTCTTGATCTTTGGTGAAACTCCATTAATACCTCTAATTCTAATGGCAACGATTAATTTTGGATCAGCTTCAGCATATAAATCACCGTTAATTTCAGCTTTCTTCTTGGCAAGATAGACAGCTTTCTTAGCAGCTTCAATGTCCTTATGGTTTTGAATAGTTCTTTTGATAACTTCAGCTCTGAATGCTTGGCATCTAGCTTTGCATGGGCAAACAGTTTTTGTGCAAGCTTCTCTTTGAACGGCGGTGGCTACTTTAGCACTCATCTCCAACAACCCCTAAAAACCTCGATTTTTTTTAGTTCTCCGGGTTTGATAAATTATAGTTTTTATTAATTTACTTTTAATTCTTTTATAGTTTTAAGTTTTTTTATTATTTTAAATTAAATATAAATAACAAAAAATAAATAATTTGTGTTATTTAAGAGATGAATATAATTGAAGTGCTGTAATTTTTATATCTCGTGTAGTCACTGGCTCTCCTTTAATATAGCGGTTTATTACTTCTTTACGAGCAAGTGAATAGGCTTTAGAGATTATCATAGAAATATCTGACCCACTTATTTTTTCTGGTAAATAAGATACAAATTGGTCAAGGTTTATATCTTCATGTTGAATCGAATTTAATTGAGCCGATACAACTTCTTTTCGTTCTTCACCAAAAGATAATCCAACCTCAATCGATACATCAAATCTACCAGGAACAAGAAGAGATTTATCTATTTTATCTATTCTGTTTGTAGCCCCAATAACAAGAATTCCACCAATAATACCAACTCCTTGCATTTCAGTTAAAATTTGACTTACAACTCTATCAAAGACACTTCCACCTTTTCTTTTAGAGGCAATTGCATCAATTTCATCAAAGAAGATGATAGATGGACTATTTTCTCTTGCTGTGTGAAATAAATTTTTAATATTTTTTTCTGTTTCTCCAACATATTTGCTAAGTAACTCTGCGCCTCTAACGCTAAAAAATGACATATTGTATTCTGTTGCTACTGCTTTTGCAAGAAGAGTCTTTCCTGTTCCAGGAGGTCCATATAATAAAATTCCATGACTTTCATTTAATGTTAATATTTTTGAAACTTCCTGTTTAATTTGTTTTTTAGCTTCATTACAACCACCAACATCAGACCATCTTACAGTTGGTATTTCTATTGAAGTTGTATGTTGTTGAGATAATTGTTTTGCTATTTTATTAATTTCTTCAATACTTAAAGGAAGTGCATTCCATTTTTTTTGAATAGAAAGAGTATCAGAGAAAGTTAATCCTCTTGGTAAAATAATTGATTCTGGTAAATGGAGATATTGTTGAATGCGACAGAGGTCAGATGTTTGATAATTTTTTAAACGGAGAAATGGAAAAGAATCAGTTGGAGAAGAAATAGAATCTATATTAAATATACAAATCATTTTAAAGAGTGAATGAGGAAGGGTATTAATTTTACTTGCAAGAAATGATTGAATTGATGAGGTGTATTGAAAGATTATATTAAAATTATTGTCTGTAATATTATCGAATAAAATAATAATAGGAAGAGCTTTTATTGATTCTTCTATTAATGCTAATGTATCACATATTGAATAGTCATCTATTCCAATTCTAATAAAATTACATTGAAGAGTTGAAGCAATTTGATGAATTAAAGTTCTTTTACCAATTCCATTTGGTCCTAACACAATACATTCTTTCATTTGATTTAATTGATTTGATTTTAATAAAAGATTTGAAAGAAAAGAATACACTTCTTTACAATTTTGTTCAGATGAAATAAATGTTAAAGGAGATAATTTTGAAGTTAACATTAATGAAGGAGAAGATTCAATATAAAATTTTGTTTTTGATGTAATTTCAAAAAAACAAGAATTTAATTTTTGATTATTAATACTAATAATGGAATAAGAATACCATTTATATTGAGATAATAATAAATTATTTTCATTATCAATTGAATTACTTTTTAATAATAATGTACTTCCAATTTTTACAAAACGATGATTAAATTCTTCCCAATTTTTATTATCATTAAAATATTTGATTTGTTTTTTTAAACTAATAAGAGGATGAGGAGAAGGTTTTACAATAATATTTATTGCTTCTTGAATTGTTTTTATAAAACAAAGTGAAACTTTAACTTTTTTAGGAAATCCTAATGAAATTATCATTTCATCATTTAGTACTATTTCATTTTCATTTAAACTTTTATCAATAATAAAGTAACAAATAAATTCTTCAAGTATTTTGTTTGTTCCACAATAATTTTGAATATTTGAAATTTTAATTTTTGATTTTGATAAAAATAAAAATTTTGAGCTATTAATTTTCACAAAATTGGAAATATTTTTTTCATAACTAACATTTAATACTATTTCCATGAACCAAATAAGAATTTAATATTGAGAGTTTGATTAAACAAGAGAAGAATAATCAATAAATTAAATTAAAAAAAAAATATTAATAAAATATTATTTCAAATAATAATATAATAGTAAAAAAATAATAAAATTAATTAAAATGAATAAAAAGATATTTTTTCAAAAAATTGAGAAAATTAAGTTCTTAATAATTAAATGACCAACACTGAAACTGAATTTAAAGAATTTATTGAATCAATAAAAACTACAGGACCTAAACGGTTTGTTTAAATATGAAATAAATTATTAAAGAAAGAGAATAAGAGACGAACGTAATAATATAGAAAAGCAGCTTATAAGAGTTTAGGAGAATTAACGCCAAAACTATCATTTGAACAATTATTAATACTTGTACCATTATTTCATGACAGTTTAGGAGATTCAGAAAATTCGCAAGTTGTTCATTTAATTCAAAATTTATTACCTGTAATAAGAAAACTTTATGTGTCAGTTTGTTATTTTATTGTATTGATAGTATAACTAATTATTATTTATTTGTTAGGACACTGAAGAATATCGAATTCAAGCAATGCTTCTTGTTGCTCCATTAACTGAACTTGTTGTAAATGGTCCAAAAACAATTAAAAAAGCAACAGTAAAGTGTTTAAAAAGAGTTATTCCAATGTTAAATGAAACAGATTTTAGAGGATATGTATATTCTGTTTCAAAAGCATTATTAATGGATGATAGTGATTGTCAAAATCAAGTATTTGGATTAGTATTAGTTGATGCAATGTTACCACGATTAACTGAAGAAGAAAAAATACAATTATTATTACCAAAATTACCAGACCTTTTAATGTCTAAAGACCTTTCATTACGTAAGAATACAATTAAAACATATTCTTTATTATCAACACAATTACCAGTAGAATATGTTGATGGAATGATTGTTCCTGCAATTGTATGTGGCGCAAATGATAAAGATTTTATAGTAAGAAAAAAAGCATCAGAATGTATTACAACAATAGCAGAAATAGCTGTTGATAGTAAAAGTAATTTGATTCGACCATTTTTTTCATTAGTTCAAGATGCAAATAAACCAAATGCAATTGTTTCTTTAAAACAAATACCAAATTTCCTTCATATTATAGGAAAAGAACTTGCTAATCAATATTCAAAAGAAATATTACCAATTCTTGTTAATTTATCATCTGATACAGTTCGTTTATTTCCTGATGCACCAACATCAGTTGGGAAAAGTTTAATATCAATTATTAATTTTTATATGGAAACTGAATCAGAAATTGTATTTACTATAGTTAAAAATTTAGCTAATTCAGGTGCCGTAGGAGCAAGATATAGTGTTGGAGTTTGTTTTCAGTTATTAATGCCTTACGTAAAAGCAGAAGATACAAGAGCATTCTTTTTAGAATTATATGACTCTTTACTTAAAGATGAAAAAGTAGTCCAATTAGCTGCTATTAGTTCATTAGCAGATGTTATTGGAATTGTTAATCCTGAATATAAAGAACGCTATATGAAATCTTTTATGAGTTTTATGGAAGATCCATTTTGGAGAGTAAGATTACAAATAGCATCAAGTTTTAGTAGAGTTGTTCAATCAGTAGGAGAGTCAGTTGATGTTCAAACATATTTATTTAAATTATTAAATGACCCAATGGCTGCTACACGGTCTAAAGCAGCAGAAGTTACTGCACAAGTATATATGATATCATCTAAAGAATTTAAACAAAAAGTAAGAAATAGTTTTATTGTTTTATCTAAAAGAAACTATCATAGAAGAAAGGTTATTATTGAATTTATTAGTTGGATATTTGGAGAAGTAAAATCTATGGATGAAGGTTTATCAATTTTAGATAATTTCTTTATGCCATTCTTTTTATTATGTGTTGATGATCCAGTTCCTAATGTAAGAATTCATTTATGTCATGCAATTTATTTAATATCATCAAAATATCCTAATTTTATTCAAATAAGTAATGTTCGTGATTGTTGTTATCAGTTAATGGTTGATGATGAACAAGATGTATCTTCTATAGCAAAAGAATTATTTGAAACTCGATTAAAAAATTAATTAACTTCAACATTTTTTTTATTACTCTTTAATTTAAAATTATAATAAAAAGAACCTCCTTTTGAAATAATAAAATGGTCTCTTTTTATTAACTAATCTATTAAATTCATTAATTTTGAAATGAAGACACAAAACTATCAAAAAGTAATGGCCATGCAGAATCTGATGTTGTGTCATAGTTAGAGAAGTCTAAATGAATTGTTGTTATAAAATCATATAAGTTTTGCCATTCATCTCTATTTAATGCTTTTGTGAATCAAGGAGAGAAA